AAATATACGAGTTAATGCTCCAAATTAGATATACAAATCAACATATATTTCATCACTTCAGTTCTCTAGAATCTGTACTACCACTATACAGTGAATTTTAAGAAAATTAGATGACAGTTCTATGTTCTTTCCTTCTTCTTACAACTGTCCTAATGGTCTTTTACCCTTCCCTCCCTTCCTTGTGTATATGAATCCATATGAATTTGCATTTTAACTGTTCTCTCCATATGCCCCTGACCATGGTGCATTCATAGCTGTATTTCCAGTGTCTCACATGGTTGAATGAGTGTCTCCAAAAATGAATTTTCCTGTCAGAAACAGCAGTTCTTTTAGCCATATATAACCGGAGTCAGATAACATAGTTTAAAAGACAACAGTTGTTAGGATTTTCTTCACTTATAAAGTACTGTCCATTATAGAAAAAACTGGAAGACAAAGGGAATCAGAAAAGAATAGAAATCACTCATTGTTCTCTTAATTTTCTGGTTTTCAAAATTGCATCTCTGCTTCCTTGTGAGTAGAATCCTTGGGTCTCTAACAAACAATTTTCTTCTGACTCTTCTATTCATGTTGCTTCTCTATTTTTCCTTCTGCATGTTCCTAGTAGAAAACTGCATGGTCTTAGTATTTTAGAGTTCCTCCTTTCCAGGGTAATCTCTATAACTATTCCTGTCACTTCTACAACACTGATTTTGGGATAATAAAAGATGCTGCAAATTTAATGAATAAATCTCAAAAAGTCCAGAGAAAAGTAGGAAAGAGAGAGTTTGGCAGAGGCTGGGTAAACTGACTCACCCAAATCATACCAAGGACAACAATTCTTTCTAGCACATTTTTAAAGTATACATAGTGATTCTATATATAAAATGATTATTATATGAAGTATATATAGTGATTTCATTCAAATACTAGCTTCTCACCTTAACAGTTATTTAGATCCATTCTTTCTATGCCTACACAAAAATTTGATATTTAATCAATAAAACAAAAAGTTTAAGGCAATATTTTCCTTCCTTGTATTTTTTGATTTTTCTAGAATCAACTGGTATTATTCATATTATTTAAAATTAAAATATATTTAAAGAATTCATCAAGTATTTATTGTGGGCCTAAGAATAGTGGTACAAAGAAATTGTATGGTACATTAAGGGGAATACATACCAAAAAAAACTTGACATGATTCTTGCCTCAAAGAACTTGGAATAACCACAGAGTGAGAAAATATGCATAAGGTTACATATACTACAAAGCATAAAGTCATTAGTGCAAAAACGAGTATATTCCATTTGTGCACGAGATAGTAATATTTAAGTTAAACTAACTGTTGTGTTAGTTTCAGTTTTAGTTTTAAGAAAGCAGTAACTTTTACCTAAGGTTCTGAGTCACCACATAATATTGTAAATCTGACATCCTGCTGGAGAAACCACACTTCAAGGAAAGCCTTCAGTAGTCTCTGATAAGGCATGTACATGTGTCATTCTGGTTGTGGATCCTTTAACCCTAGACATCTCAGCAAATAGCATATGGGTCTGGTTGAAAATAGTTCAGGTGAGCCCTTTCCAATCTCCTGGTTTACTAAAATGTCAACAAAATAAAACTGTTTTAAGTCACTAAATTTGGGGGTGGTCTGCTATACATAAATACGTAATAACAGAGCTCAATTTTATTCATTTATTTTTAAAGACTTATTTATTTATGTACAGAACTGGGATATAGGCCAGAGGTGCAGGGGCAGTGAGAGGCTTCGCCAGAGACAAGAGTGGGGAGCAGAACAGGCAGATGGATGAAGTACAATACTCAGGGGAGCAGTGGGCGGGTCAGGAGAGGTCTGTGTGCCATGAGGGTCACCTCCGGGGCCGGCGGGAATCAAGCTCATGCTGAAGTGACTTTAGCTTCTTAGTGCTGTGCTTTAACCGGCTGCACCACCAGTGAGGGCCCCAAATTTTATTTTTTAACTAATGGGAA